GTCTCTTACACTGATCAGTAGGTTTCATACAATTCATTTTGCGAATTTCATCCAATAACGGGTTTTTGATAATCATGGCGGCCACATTTTTCTTCTTTTCACTGATGTCTTTTTTAAGGTTAAGTAGTACGGCATGATCTACACTGATGTTTTTTATAAGGTTACGTACCACTGCCTAGTGTAATCTACATAGAGGATTTTTTCTAGGTTAAATGCTACTGCCCAGTATAAATTTGTCCAGAAAACTCTACACTAATGTTCTTTTTGAATGTTAAATGATTATGGTACGGTAGATAACCTCTATAACATTACCTCTATCGCACCGAAGTCAAACGTCACTGTCTGCTGCCAGTAAGCGGGTGGGTGACCGCTTTGATCAGTCCACGTAGGGTCCGAGGGTGCGCGGTATCGGTCCTCGTCAAACTGTTCTACCGTAAAGTGGTCGACTTCGCTCGCAGTTCGTCGGACTACCAAAGCACAGAGGATCAAAATTGCGATGGCATATCTTTGGATCATCCTCAGGGATGTTTCCCAGACCGTCACCCATTGTGCAGGTGTAAATAAAGTTACCTCTATTGTACCGACCCCAGAAATTGATTGAATAACATTACTGTTACTGAACAGAACTCTGGTTAATTCTTGAAAAGCGGCGCTGTTGTCAGCAGAATAACGGGGAGATATTTTATTGAAGATCGGTGCAAGCTTTTGAGTTTAGCTTAAATTTATATTAGAGCTTGAACATTGGTAAATATTTCATACTTTCTTGGCTGTCAAATTAGTTCATTTATCAAAATACGAAGAAAAGTATATTTTTTCTAAACCTAAAAAATAATTTTTATTTTTTAATAAGTTAGAGGTAGTTATGGTTTTAAAAAGAGTTCGATTAAAAGTTGTTTCAAGTCATTAACATGATTTTCATGACTTTTATCGTGTGTCACAAGACGTCATACCTTTTTTTTTCTCATAAAATTTTAATTCTAAACAAAATTAAAGTATAAAAATTGTTTGCATTGTATCACAAGAAAAGTTTGTATTTAAATAATATCTGCGATTTTTGATAAATTCCCGTAAAAAATCTAGAATCTTTCCTTAAATTTCAAACAAGTTATAGAAGTCTAACATAGTGTACAATGCGAAAAAAAAGTGAACCAAACTGATTAATTTTTGATCTAATGAACGGATCTTCACATTCTATTACATAATCTTAATAATTCGACCGTCGAAAATGCTAATTAATGAGCGTAGACTCTATTTAAAGTTACAAAACAAGACTCAATAACGCACTTCTTCTGATTAAACGAAACTTTTTTTTCGGCGGATTTCTGACCTTTAAAATGAAGGAGGTAGCCGTAAAATTGGAAATAGGGCTCCTTTTGTTTGGTCAGGGGCGAGGTCCAAAGTGTGGATCCCTTCATTTAAATTCTAGTTTTTCGCCATATCTCGAGAGCTTTTAAAGCAAATCGAAATATTTTTGAACACAATTATAAATTTCGTTTACTTAAAAATTATTCCCCGCAAAAAATAACTTTCAGTTAAAATGTATTCTTTTTTATTATTTTAATAAATAATAGTTTAAAAAATTTTGAATTGTAAGACACGCAATTTTTTGCATCATTTTAAAGAATGTCATTTTATATGGCAAAATACAAAATTTCAGCACTATCGGTTGAATAGTTCATGAGAGAGGGAATTCTAAAAAAGTCTTATACGAATCTTATAATTGTGTACGCAAAGTTCGCTTAAAAAGTTCTCGAGATATGGCGAAATACGCAAAAAGTAAAATTAACTTTAAGGGATCCGAACTTTAAACCGCTGTCCCGATCAAACTATTGGGACTCCCAGATTGCGGGTATCCCTTATACCAGGGGTAGGCAACGCGGCGCCGCCGGTGCCATGGCTCCCCCGATCGATTTTTAATGCGCCCTCGCTGGACTAATGTAAATGTATGATAGCTAGAGCGATTTACTTACTCTTGTCAAACGGCGATATACAGCAAGTAGTCAGTTGAGTTTAGGATTGTGCATAGATTAGCAGTTTGCTAACCTTGAGCGTATCTAATAACACGCACGTATTTTTTGTTAGTGTGTGATCGTATTTCGAATAGACCTAGCGTAGACCGTGCATTTAAAACTACCAAGTAATCCGAAATAATTCCTTTCTTTCAAAACCCTTTGTTGAAAGCAACCCTGGTTGAAAGCGATGAACTGGATCCTAAATTAAACAGTGATCTAGTTTGAATGGGTGATCTAGTTTCGCCATTGATGTAGTTTCTGACGCATCAGCTAGGATAACTGTGACTGTATTGTAACTTGTCGTTTTAGTTTCAGTTTGCCTTTATGTTTGAGCTTTTGTTTGTTTATCTTTGGTATAATGTTTTTTTGCTATGCTTTCGTTATGTTTTAAATAATAAACGTTGTTAAGTTTAATAACGTTGTGTTTCTTTTTAAAATAGAGTTGTTATAGTTCTAGTTTTTTGTGTTTTAACACCCTTCATGGATAAATGTAAAAGAAAAAGAACATATTATTTTAACGATGAATGGGAACATCTATATTGTTTCGTTGATTACAAAGGGAAGTGTATTTGTTTGTTGTGTAATAATAGTGTTGCGATTCCCAAGAAAGGTAATATTGAACGACATTTTAAGACCGTTCATACCAATTTTGATAGTGACTATCCAATGAACTCTGAAATTAGAAGAAAAAATTTTTTTTCTTTAAAATCTTCAATAACTAACCAGCAAAGTGTTTTTACTAAACCACTGCAACAACATAAAGCAGTAACGATCGCGTCATATAAAATATCGCATTTGCTAGCTAAGAATATAAAACCATTTACAGATGGAGAATTAGTGAAAGAAGCCATGTTAGAAGCTGCTGATTTACTTTTTAAAGAATTTAAAAATAAAAAGGAAATAGTTTCAGCTATAAACACGTTGCAATTATCAGCACGAACTGTTACTAGAAGAATTGAAGTAATTGCGGAGAATTTGGAGGCAGAATTAGCAAATGATATGGAAAATTGTATTTTCTTTTCGCTACAGATGGATGAATCGACAGACGTGACAAATATATCACAATTAGCAATTTTCGTGAAGATGGTATTTTCTGATTTTACAACAAAAGAAGAATTCCTTAAAGTTCTGCCATTAAAGGGAAGCACCAGAGGGGAGGATATCTTTTCTACTTTTAAAAAGTATATAACAGATGTAAAATTACCTGTACAAAAGTTATCGTCAATTACAACAGACGGGGCACCAGCGATGACTGGTAAGAAAAAAGGATTTATTGCCTTATGTAGATAGGATTCCTTATTCCCGAAATTTATTTCCTATCATTGCCTCATACATCAGGAAATGTTATGTGCAAAAACAATCGGTTTTCAACACGTATTCAAGATAGTAACAAAAATAATTAATTCCATAAGATCGAGAGCTATGCAACACAGATTGTTTAAATTACTTTTAGAAGATGAGGACGTTCAGTTCACAGATTTTCTTTTACATACTGAAGTGAGGTGGCTGAGCAGAGGTAAAATACTAGAGCGGTTTATCATGCTTTTGCCACAAATAAAGGAATTTATTGCATCAAGAGGCGAATTTTACGAGCAATTAGAAAATAAGGATTGGCTAATCGACCTCGGATTTCTGACAGATATAACGGCAAAGTTGAATGAATTAAATTTAAAAATACAAGGGAAAAATCAGCATATCGCTGACATGATTAGTGCAGTAAATGCATTCAAATGCAAGTTAGTGTTGTTGAAATCCCATCGATTGAAAAAATCATTATCACATTTCCCAAATATAAAATATACTGTTGAGAGTTTAAATCTGAATAATGAAAATTTTACTGCTACATCATATTTAGAAATTATAGATAAGCTAATAGAAGAGTTTTCTTCTAGATTTGAAGATTTTGCAGCATTAGAATCCGTTCTAAGATTTTTCATAAATCCATTCAATGTTACTGAAGATGATGTCCTTGAAATATCGAAGACCTAGAATTAGAAATAATAAACTTGCAAAGTGATATTATTTTAAAAGCGCATAGTAATGATAAAATGTTTTGGAACTTAGTCGATGGAAATAAGTATCCTATTTTAAGGAAATGTGCGCTAAAAATTTATTCATATTGTGCAACAACATACAATTGCGAGTCTTTGTTCTCAAATATGAAATATTTGAAATAAAAATACCGAACAAAGCTTAACGACTCACATTTAGATAATTGTTTAAGGACCGGGAACTCTAAATATATCCCCAATTATAAGAAATTAACTGAAAATATGGACACCCAAGTTTCACACTGAATTATATGTATCATTATTTATGACACCAAAATAAAGTTACAAAAAATCTGTTTTTTTTTAATGCCTATTTATACCTGTTGATTATCTGTAAAATATGCGCCCTCGGTGATTTTCAAATTTAGTATTGCGCCCTTAAGTACAAACAGGTTGCCGACCCCTGCCTTATACGTTGGGTGCCAGGAACCTGATTTGACCAAAGCCGAAAAAAAAAGAAAAAAAAATTCCCGTTTACTAGGAAAATGCACGTTTTGGTGTTTGATTTCTTAATTTAAAATATCGTCTGCACAAAAATAACTATAATTAAGGTCACTTCTCTCCAAATTGTAGAATGGATGAGTCCTAGAACGTGATCATTAGATTAAAAGTTATTCAGAGTGGTCCGTTAAACACGGATTCAGTTTCCATGTTTAAGTTTTAAGAAAAATATTTATGTATGCTTTTCTTTTTTTGACAGAATGAAATTGATAAAAAATGTTTTCACTGTCAAACAAAAGAACAAATATAATAGAATAGTTCATATCAATTATGTCCTATTTTCAGTGTTTATTTCCTTTTATTTATTTATTTTTCTTCCAAATAATAAATGCTTGAGGGGATGATCCTTTGCGGAAACTCTGGGACCACCTGGCGTTGTTATTTCTATAAAGACCGCCACAAAGTTTGAATGGAATTATGGGATATAAAAAATATCGATTCATCGACCACATGTGGGGGGTAGGAGCTCCCAGAGCGGCGTTGCTTCACCCGTCCGCCAGTTAACACATCTCTTTCTACGGAAATGGTAAGCATTTCATATTTCATTCCATTTTTTTTCCCGATTAAAATTTCACGTTTTCATTAAATTTATGCACACACACAATGGTGATTTTCATAACTGTCTTCTTAGGTTGCATCTTTTATTATTTTAATCTACGTGTGTTTTATTTCGGTTGGAAATGGGATTGCTTTGAATGAGCTTGAAAAATAAAAAGGTTAAAGGGAGGGAGAATTATCATTTAAATTTTATAAGAGAATTTGTGAAGTCAAAATTTTCTGTCTAAGTGTATAACATACACACCAACTACTACAGAATTTCACCAGTTTTAGAAAAAGAAATTTACAGTGGTATAGCAGTGTGCAGTATTCGAGTGTGCTAAAATTTTAATTAAAATTTAATAAAAAGAATTGTATTCATAGCTACATATTAATAATTTAAAAAGATGTATTAAAAGTCAAATTGAGAAAGGGTGGTGTTCTAAATTCCTATTAAGTTTTTATAACTGTATGTTTTAATCATTTTTTCATTTCGGTACAACTCATCAACATATTTCGTTCAAAACTCAAATGTTGTATGTGTACATAAACAAATAGACTCAACACATCACAACTATGAAATGTGGTGTGTCATGAAATAGGCTAATCATTACTTAGAGGGGCCGTTTTCATAATTTCGTGCCATTCACCTGAGAAATATTATTTTGAAAGAAACTCATTCGATTTCTCTGAACGATGTGAGTCTTATGAAACATTTACACTCAATGTAAATGGAGAAAAAAAATAGTATTTTGAAGAAATGAGTTGAAAGGGAACATAAAATATAGAAGGTCTGCCATCATTAAATCTAAAATGCTTTTCTTTTTTTTTTTTTGGAATTTAGTTTCTAGTAATAAAAACTTATTTTTTAACAGTGTTATAAAATCAGTAATTCTTGAAAGGTTATTAAAAACAATTAGATAACATGTAAATGTTTGATAACATAATACCACTTTACACAATTGAATGTAACATTACACTTATTGACATTTTTTTCTATTGGAATTTAGAAATAGTGTCTTAGCAAGGTGAGTGTCTTAGTGAAGTCTGTTTAGAAAACAAATCAAAACATTTATTTCGAATGTTTTATGTTTGCTTGCTGAGAACAATGTCACGCCCGTTGCCCTAATTAGTTGTTTAAAATATATTTATTAATTTATTCGACTGGATAATTTAGTTCATTAGGGTTTTATTTTCAGGTTTTAATCGTAACAGAATTTCAAAATTTTTTCTTTCTAGAAATTTCTAGTTTCTTGAATTTTGTTCTTTGTCATGTCTATCACCAGTAACCATAGCTGGTAATAACGCATTATTTGCATGTTTTTCTTTTAAAAAATTAAAATATGTTTAGGAAATTGAAATATGTTAACATTGACGTATGTTTACATGTTATTATTAGCATTAAAGTCTTGGACTCGCCTGGTAACATTGCAATTTAATTGTTTCATTGTACTTAGACAAAAAAACCATCTATTAAAAATTAATTTTTAAAAAAATACTAAAAAAGTTTAAAAAAAGGGAACTGGAAACTGTCAAAAACATTTAACTAATATAGAAAAATATTTTGCGTTTAGTTATTTTTAAAAACTACATATTTTCACGGAAACATCTCTCCCTTTCAATTTTCAAGTGACATAGTGTAAAGTGTTCACAATGTGTATTTACATTGCTTGATTTTCATGTTCAGTCATCATAATTTATAACCTCATTGAGTTTACAACTTCCATGAACCAAGAATGAATTCCTAATCAGTTCTTTATGAAGCCTTTTGAGGTTGTACAAAGTATGTGTTTACTATTTTGATTTGTTAGAGTCTTATTATGCATTTAAATAACCACGAAGTGCTAAAATAAAATAATACTGCAACTTATCAACAAGTTAAAATATTTATAAGCTAAAATATTTATGGGTAGTGGTGGAAAAAGTTATCTTAGTTCTAATCTATTAAAATATTAATACACTATATTTGCTGCCACGGGTTAAAGTATTTTTTCGTTGTAGAATTCTTATACAAACTTCACCAATTACCATAGTACCAATAGTACATAATAGCAAAATTAATTGACCATCATCTGCGCAAAGCAATTTATATAGTTGCTGAATTTCTAAGGTACTTTCCTTTCTCCATTAACGTTGCTTTTTAGTACATAGCTTATTTTTTTTATTTCAACTGATACATATTTACCAATATGATTTAAGCATTGGTGTCAATAATAATATGGTGATTGCTTACGGTTCCCCAAAACGAATTAGTGTCTTATGTATGCATCTTTTCGCCATTAGCTTTGCTTTATAATACCTAGCTTATCTTTTTTATTTCAATTAATACATATTACCACTATTAATTGAGTATCATTGGCATCAATAATAACGTGGCCATTTTTTATGGTTCCTCTAAACGAATAAGTACCTTTACTCTAATTATTTTGCTTTTCAGTACATAACCAATTTCTTTCATTTCATAATGCTTCTGTTATTTGAATTAATTAAGCATTATTGGTGTCAATAATAGCCTGTCGAGTTTTACATTTCTTCTAAACGAATTCGGAGCACTTGTTCATGAATTCTGCCTTTCAATACAAAATAAATTTTTTATTTTATTTCAATCACGGTGGATTTTAAGTTATTTACTTTTATCGAAACACGTTTTAATATAATTATTGTAAATTAAATAAACGCATGGTTTACTCTAGAAACACTAATTGGGTGACGTAATCCTTCCATGCTACAACATTAACGTTGTTCATTGAATTTATCTGACATATATAGCGAATAAAAAATAGTTGCAATAAAATCTATTTTGATCACATAGAGCTTTAAGCTAGCAAACATCATTGATGTTGCTAAATTACGATGATCTCGGGGTTTAAAAGCACTACAAACGTCTGTAACAAAGTATATTTAATAATAAAAACAAGGAATGATTTATCCTTTTACATTGCAGCCATCTGTTGGATTTTAGAAATTATTATTATTAACATTGAGAAATATAATGAACAATTCCCTCGATTAACTCTTAGTTCATTACAAATTAAGCAATCCAAAATATTAATCAAAGTTATATTTCTCAGATGTGAGATATCAATATTTTTTAAAAAAATAATATGTTTTACAAGCATTAGTTCAAACTTATACCAAATTTCTGCTTTATGAATGAAATTATTAAAATTTAAATAAATAAATACCAATTAAGATAATTAAATGATCATATCATGAATAATAAACCAAACAATTTTCACTAAGCAAATTCTTTCTCATGCAAAATGTTTCTATTTCAAACAAACAAGTATTTAAACAAGAAAAAAAAATATAAATATATATTTTCTTTAACTCTGATGTTATCTTTAAATATATTTGAAAAACTGAATTCTCTATAGTTAAATTTAAAACACTGCCTAACTTTTAACCCATCAGTAAATTTCGTTTTCACTCGAAACGCTCGAACGGTTCGTAACAGATTGTTCTAACGTCGACTGTGACCTTCCCTGTACTTCGAATTATCAGTATGCCAAATTTCACAGCTCTCAGTCGAATGGTTTATGATTCTAAAAATAACTCATGAGCATTTCTTTTCATACATATAGAAATTTATAGCTCGTATTTGAAAACGTTACCTTAAAGTAACAAAATAAATTATGATTTTCCCATTTCTGATGGACTGCCTGAAGCATTTAAAGAATTTAAAATTTTTTTCGTATTGTTAATTATTTTATTGTACCCTGTATCATTTAATTTTTTTATATAGCTTGGTCTATGTTATTTTTTTTTTTTGTTATTCAAGTTATTATTTTAAATTAAAATTTGTTTCTAAGTATAGATATAGTGCTCCACGAAATTTTAGGCAGACTATATTTTTTGCGTCTATTATAATTAAAATTAATTGAATCCATATTTAAAACAAGAAACAAAAAATGATGAAAATTCCAGACTACCCTCAATAATTAAAATATAAAAATATGTAAAATACAGTATAAGAAAAATTTAGCTAGACGAGTAGTTTTTTTTCCCTCCATAAATTATTTGTAATATTTAACAACGAAGACCGTCAATTTGACTGCTTTCATCTCTAAAGATATCAATACAAATTATGTATTGTTTTAGGTTTTAAAAATTTTTTTTTTACTAATTTCAGTGAAATTTTAGAGTAGTTATATCTTCCTTTTTAAATTCCAGTCAGCCATTTTGTCTTTTATGATCTGTATGATCTATACCTATTTATATTATAACTTGTCAAATTGACGGTTTTATTTTATTTTATAATTATATATTAATATTGATATTCGTATTTGAACAGCTGACCCAATTTTGAGTTTACGACTAACAATGTTCAACTCTGTAGACCTGTGATTTTTAAACCCCATCCAGAAGACAAGGGATCTCCTGAATTGGGTGCATTTTGTCTTCGTGGAGGGCTTTAAGATGGAACTAACAAGCATTTGAGTTACATGAAGAAGAAAACTTCCTACTGTTGGTCTAATGGTAAGGGGACTCCAACCCATGATCCGTCTACCACAGAGGATATTTAACGTCAGCACTGTGGTCGGTGCGAGCCAAGTGTGGAATTTGTATCAATCAGCTATCGCTGGGATTTGAACCCGGGGCGATCTCATTGGGAGGTTCCATACTCTGAGCCGCCACGGTTTTAGCAATTACGAAGTTTGGAAAAATTTTTATGAAAATAAAACATACTAATTTTTGGTTACATTTTCGTTATTATTAAATTCTTGCATTAAACTTTTTGTTTAAAAAATGTATCTTTTTATGAAAAGAATAAAAAGGAAGCACTTCTTTTTATTGCTATTGTTTCGTCACAAAAAGAAATCCCTTTTTGCAAATAATATGCTATTTTTACAACTGTTGTGTGTTTTCATCAGTTTTTTATGGCTGTTATTTAAAGATTTGCTTATCTTTAATCAGTGTAACAGATCAATTTAGTGGTTCGACGAAACGAAATATAATGAGAAAGATGTCACACAGTCGTAACTACTA